GCACCACACCGTGGCCTGCTGCTCCTGAGACTGAACGGGGAAGGGAAGGGCTGAAAGGCAGCGAGAAGTCACCAAGGGGCTTTGAACGTGATTCAGTACTTCTTGAACTCAATTCTTTCTACTTTCACATCATCCTCAATTAGTTGGTATACATAAGTCACAGCCGTGGAAGCCTGGATATCCATCAGCACAAATGAAGGGGTGATGTTCCTGGAAAGAAGACATCCTTTGTAATCTTCCCAATTAGCTTATACCTCCTGCTATTAACACCCCTTATGTTTATGTGTTCTCATATACTTTATTGCCCAGGGCTACAGGGAAGTGGGAAACACTGCAGGGTCTGCAGGCACTGATAAAAGTGTCTCAGGCAGAGCTGCACTTAGCCTGGAACATGTCAGGCTCAGACATTTAAGCTGACAGGGCCTCCAAAGGTCTGATTTCCTACAAAATATTAGAATGCAGCTTCTGGGAAGATACTAGAAAGCCAAACGACTTCAAGAAGCTACTCCAACTCACCCCTCTCTGGGCACAGGAAGCAGCTCCAGACACACCAGTGCAGGGCTGTCATGACCAAAATGTCTAATATAAATGTTACCAGGCTAAGAAAACCCCGGTAACAGGGAGCCTCGCTGGATTCCCTGGGAAGGGAGCAATCCAGCCTCCTGCTCCCCACAGCACCTCGCCAGCACTCTGCAGCACGGCGATGAGACACATTCATTTCAGGTGACACCCACAGGCTCTGCTGTGCTGGGCAGCTCAGGGCTCCCCTCACTCACCTTTCCAAAGCACTGTAGGCTCCTGTAGCTGATCCCGGGTTGATGTAGAATTTTTTTTCATATTCAAATGCTTCAAACCTATGTGTGTGTCCCGAGATGAGAATGTCCACATCCAGCTGCCTCTGCAGCAGTGCCAGGCTGGCTGCATCACCCCAGGGAATTACTTGATGGCCGTGAATCAGCCCGATTCTGAACTGCCCAACAGTTACAACCTTCTTTTCAGGATAATTCAGGCTCTGAGGAGAAAGGTAGACAATAAATCAGTCAAGGACCCCTCATTTACGCAATGCAGCTTCCAAGACACAAACCTGCTCTTCACTGTTCAGGCACACAAAGTCTCTCTCACCGTGCAGACCCCACAGGATGCTTGTACCATACCCCAGCAAGAGCAACTTCAGAGTAAAGAGTTAGGAATTTGCACAGAGAGCAGGAGACTTTAACTGGGTACCTAACTGTAAATAATCATACACAGAGAATTCCTGCAGCTACACGGCCAGCTGGGGCACTGTGGCCTCAGCAATCACAGACTTGTGCCTGAGTTCATAGGAACCAGGTGCATGTTTTACCCCCTCACACTCAGGCCCTCCTGTTGCTGGTACAACAAGAAAGGTCTAGAAAATAATTTTTTTCTTCACTCTTACTCATTCTTACTCCTTATTCAGGTGAATTACAGTTCAGGAATTGGTCAATGCTGAGGGACTCCCCAGGATTCATGAAGACAACCAATGCAGGAAGGCAGGTTGAGGAACTGATGTTACCTCCGAGTCCCCCCTAACGACGTGGATGTCCCCAGCCAGCGTCCTGAGGTAGTCATAGCTCTCCTTGGTGCAGAGGTTTCCCGTACACAGGATGTGCTGAATCCTTCCTGGAACCAGCAGCTCCTTGAACTTCACGGGCAGGGCACTGCACCGGTGCGGGATGTGAAGGTCCCCCAGCACTAACACCAACTCCGCACACACCGGGGGGAAAGAGAGAGCCTTAACCCAGGTTACTTAACAGAACAGCACAAAAACAGAATACCACAAAACCCTGCTGCGCTCCTTTTCGAGTCAGCTCTGATGAAACAACCCTGCGCTCGCCCGAGCCTCCCCGCACAGACAGCCCAGCCCAGCCGGGCAGCGCCAGGAGCCCTCGCTCCGCACGCAGCCGGAGGTGGGGAACGTGTTGCCCGGGGGAAGCTGAGTCGGGGGGCGCCGCAGCAGCGGGGAGAGCCGGGCCAAGCCGCCGCCCCAGGCTGAACCCACGGGCAGGGAAGCAGCGCAGGTTCCCCATCCGCCGCTCACCATCCCGCCCGCTCCGGTCCGCCCGCCCCGCTGCCCTGACGCGCACGAGGGTAACCAGGAAGTGACGCTCCTGGTTTTGTGCTCCCCTGAGCCAATGGCAGCGCCAGCAGCCCCCACGTGATGTCAGCGCCTGCCGCAGGGTCCCAACGCCCGACGCGCGGTGAGCATGCGCAGTGCGGCCACCCCGTGGTGGCGCTGAATTCTGTGGGATTTCTTTGGGAAAATCCTTCGTCTTTCTGTGTGAAAACGTCCTTGTAAAGGACCCACAGGTGCCAGCGGGGTTACACGTGTCCCTTTTCCCTCAGAAGCTGTGGTGGGCGGGTAGGGGAGGGGGACCGGACAGTGTGGGTGGAGGTCTCTGGCTCCCCGGGGATGAGGGGCTGCTCCAGGGATGGGTGAGGGCTCCGTCCAGCCCAAGGGATCCCACCAAGGGCCACAGTCCGCCCTCCCGACTCAGGTACCCCGAACCACCCTGCAGGGGTGACCCCACACACGACACGAGCCCTGTGGGTAAGGATTAACCTTTATTACCAGGTGAGCCAAACTGTGCAGAAGCCCGAGCCAGATCAAGGCTACTGTGTGCTGGAAGAGCCCAGGAAAGCTGGGCCACAGGGGAGCCCTCCATCCATCCTCCTGCTGCAAGAGGAGTCCCTGGCAGGTCTCGCACCGTGTCAGGCTCTCCAGTGCTCCATGGGGGAAGTTTGGGGTCGAAGAGTAGGTCGCTGCACTTCCCAGCACGAGGCAGCGCTGCTGGGCCTGCTCAAGCGTGCGAGGAGGTCTTTCTCCATCCCTCCCAGGGCTGCTGCTCTCCCTGTTGAGGGCTTTGCATCAGGGTTGCAGAAAGGGCACAGAGAGCTTTTGTTCCCTGTTTCTAAAACCACTTGAAGGCAGGTGTCAGGGCGCAGTAGTAGGTGCCGTTGTCCTCCTGGCGGGCGGAGGCAATGGTGAGGATGCAGGTGTTGCTGGCGAGGTCCTTGGTAGCAGAGAAGCGGTCGGGAGTCTCGTCAGGCTTGTGCATTTCTCTCTCGGAGTTGTAATAAAGCAGATACCTCAGGGCATGCCCCGGGCGCTCCTGGAACCAGGAGATGCCGAACTCGGTGATGTTGTACTGGGGGCTCAGGGTGCAGAACAGCCGGGCCGTCTGCCCGGGCAGCACGAACAGGGAGGAGGGCTGGGTCAGCACGGGCTGAGCCCTGCAAGCTGTACGCAGCAAGAATGCAGTTACTGATGGGCTGAGCCGTGCCCCCCATCACCCTCAGCCCAAAATGTCCCTCAGCCCCTTTGAGGTAACCCCATTACCCAACCACCATCCTGTTTATCACCCCACACAGCCCTGGAGCAAAATGCCCTGCTCAGATTGACATCCCCTTGGACAGCCCACCACCCTGCAGTGCCCCCCCAGACAGCAGCTAACTCGGCCACCCCATCCTTACCTGTGCCCACTGTCCCCAGCAGGAGCAGGACCATGAAGTCTGGGGCCATGGCAGGAAGCAGAGGAAGGGTGGCTGTTTCAGAGAGGGTCTGTGGTGCTACAGGAACCCAGGTCACTGTGCTGATGGCGCTGGTGGGGTGTATGTAAATGACACAGGGGGCTCAGGGACTCAGCTCCCCAGGGCTGCTCGCTCTGCTGCAGCTGGGCTTCAGGGAGAGGGGGAGAGCTGAGCATCGTGACCCAGTGCCCTCCTTCACCCCAGGCCAGGCCATTTCCTTCAGCTGCACCCACAGCCAAACCCACCACCCTCTGTCCTGGACACTGGGGAGGCATCACTGTCCAGCTCTCCTCGCAGATGGGGAGAGCACAGGGGTTTCCCTGGGGTCTCACACTGTTTGCCTCAGGCCCTCTGCCATCAGGTGCACAGGAGGCCAGGAACCTGATCCACACTATGCCAAGGGTGTCCTGTGGAGGCAACAGGCTGGGGGCCAGCTGGCCCTGCTGCCACCAGGGAGAATGAAAGACAGTCTGTACCAGAATTCCCTGGCAGCCATCTCATTGCAGAAGCAGCACAAGAAAAGTTGCTGCTCCCTTCCCCCTGCAGCTCCATTGCTGTGATTTCTCAGCCTGCAGTACAGGCTGGGAGCTGCCGATGGTGCTGCCTCTTTGCCAGGGCCAGCTCTGGAACAGCAGCCATGGGCAAACACGGTGGAGTGGCTGCCAAAGCCACCGGTCAGAAGGCATTTCCTGGGGAGCATTGCAGTGAGAGGTGGCTGCAGCACGGCTGGTGCTGTGCGGAAGGACAGCAGACCGTTACAGCCAAAGGCCGCCAGCTCAGCGGGCGTGAAGCCCCTCCTGTCTGTGACACCCATCACAGGGCCCAGAGTCACCGTGTCACACAGCCACCAGCCCATGGCTGCCCTTTGCAGCAGCACAGTCAGCAGGCACTTGGCAGTGTCCCATAACTGGTGGGTGCCTCCTGCCCTCCACAGGCAGGCTTAGACTCCACCCAATGCCACCACATCACCACCCAGGGATGGCCCACTCCCTCCCCTCTGCAGCACCCAGCCCTGCTCCTGAGGTGTCCCCAAGCCAACGATATTTGCAAGAGGTTCCTGAGGTGACTGGCCTGTGTGTACTCTGGGTGTGAGGGGAAATGGAGCTCTGAGACAGAGCTAATGAGCTGCCTCATTAGAGCACCCAGCACTGTGTCTCTGGACGGGCAGATCCTGGAGAGGAAGCATCACCACCACCCAAGGATGTGATGCAGGAAGCTGGACTCCTGCTGTGCTGAGCCACCCTGCAGAGCTCTGGTGCACACAATCATCTGTCTGCTGCATTCCGGGCCCCTCAGAGCAGCTGTGACAGAGCAGGGTCCCCTCCTGCAGTGCCCTGCAGCAGCAAGGGGCCTGTCAGACCTGACAGGGCCGTACAGCACCTTGCACAGCTGGGCTGCTGTGGGGCAGGAGGGCAGCAAGGCCTGTAGTACCCCTGCCAGGGGGATGTGGTGCCACACAGCAGTCCCTGCACATGCAGTAAAGCCTGGCTGTGTCCCACCTGGGGAGACCTGTACTATCAGATTTATTAGAGGCAGCCACAGCTGCATGAGACCAACTCCATAGCCCATCCAAGGCTGAAGCTTTGCCATGGTGTCTCCTGGCCTTGTGAAGTCTTCCCCTGCAGGTATCAGCAGCTTGTGTTTCATGCAGCCAGGCCCCTGAGCTCAGTGGGGTATGAGCATGCTGCAGACACAGCTCCAGCTGTTGCCCACCAGCACTCCCCCGATTCTGCAAGGTGGTGGCAAAGTGAACATGAATTTCCCTGCACATGGGCCCAGGTGAGGAAGTGTCACATGTACACTTGTCCCATGCTCCAAGGAGATCAAGTCCATGTATTAGACAGAGGCTGTGAAACAAAACCAGCAAGGCAGAAGGAAATCACATCCTCATGCAAGGAGGGGCATTTCAGGGAAAGGGAGTTTGTTCACAGAGCACATTAGTGCTGTTACTGGTTCCCACCATTCAGGTCCTCCCCATCTGCTGACCAGCCCAGGGACACGATTTCATCCTTATGTTTTTCCACAGGAAGAGGGGATGATGCTATGATGCCCCCAAACCACTGCTGCCAGAGCATTGCACAGCAACATTTGGGCACCAAATGGAAGATGCAGCTGGCACATGAGCCACGTGCATCCCTCTGACAGGCCAGGGGGGCAGGAAGGTACTGGCTGTGCACAGTGCAAGAGCAGCTACGAGCCCAGCCCCGTGCTCACCCTGTTCTGCCAACTTTATTCCCTTCCTGCATGAGGAATGAGAGATATTCAGTGAACAGAAGGAACTCAACACAGGCAAAGGCAGTTTTATTCCAACTGCCCACAGTTCCTTCTAGTCTGCAATACCCCACTGCCTTGAGCTCCAGAGTAGGACGAGCACAGACAGGATCCTCAGGCAGATTTTTCCAGGGGCATCCAATCATCTTGCAGAGGAGGCCACACTGCCCTTGCAGCAATGCTGGGCTCAGCTGGGAGCAGGGTGGGCAGATGTGGCACCACCACAGCCCAGATGAGCTGCAGGACAAACAGGGGCAGGAAACACCACGAGACTGCAAAAAGTCTGAAATTCAGACTAGCTGGGACCACATAGAGCAGGCAGCCTTCCCAAAAGGCTGCTGTTTAGCTCAGTCTCTGCTCTACCCCCCCTTCTCCCACCCCGCAGCTGCAGGAGGCTTGGGAACCTGCAGGGGCCATTCCCTGTTGCTGGGAAATCTGGCTACTGAAACCACAACAGCGTCAGTGGCAAACACAGCCTGTTCCCTGGGCACTCCAGAAGCTCCCACCACTGCCTGCAGGAAGGCACCCAGCACAAGCAGCCCCTCAGCACAGTCCTGGGCCCCCACCAAAGGGGAGCAGCTCTGGGAGAGGAAAGCCATGTTCATCACAGTGAGATACGGAGGTATGTGGGGAGAGCTCCAGCCTTGCCTCAGCTCTAGGGCCAGACACCCACCTGGACATCCTCACCGCCCCCGCAAGGGGCAGGGAGGGACAGGGCACCCTGGTGCACAGCAATGCCCAGGGGTTTGGGAACATGCAGGAGAGCTCTGCACCCTGCACCTCACCTGTCTAAAGAAATAAAATGCCTAGACACTGAATCGTGGAGGGAAACCACACCAGCAGCACTGAGTTAATCACAGGGAGGGCAGAGGCAAGGATGAGTTCCCAGCCTGGCAGCTCTGGGGAATCACTGCAGGGAGGTGCCCTGCTTATCTACACACAAGCAGAAAAGTCACGGGGCAGAAGTGCCAGCTGCCAGCAGAGCTCTTCTGCTCCTGGCTGTGTGGGAAGGGTTCCCTGGCTCAAATCCTGACCCTCAGCTTCAGAGAGGAGGTATTTGTGGCTGGTAGGATGGAATGAGCAGCCCCTCTCCTGACCTCACCCAGTTGGCTGAGAGCCTTTGCCTGACCCCAGACACTCGTGGCTGAAGGTGTCAGACACACACAGTCCTAAGCCTTTGCTCCCTCTGCTATTTGAATTGGATCACCAGCTCTGACCACTGACGTGTGTCAGCTTTGGGGATTTCTCAATTGTGACAAACTTGGTGAGAGTTCATGGCCAAAATATCCCCTGGTGACTCAGCCACAGTCTCCAGCTCTTTCCCCTTGTGACTGGGACCAGCTTGTGGAATGGGACTGGCAAGAACCACAGCTCACTGCTTTTTCCTGCTCACGCTCAATGAAACTGTATTGAAGGACAGAGACACTTCATCAGTCAGAACTGTTTTTCCCACATCAAAGTGTTCATCCCCTCCCCTAACCTGGGGCACTCCCAACGCCAACCACCAGCAGATGTGGCTGTAAAGGAGCACCTCAAAGCCCTGGTGATGCCACATGGGGATCCTGCCTTTGCTGGCTACACAGTGGGCACTTCTGAGCCACCTGTTGTGCCTCCTGCCACATCCATGGGGCTCCTGGATTTGACGTGACCACGCTCACATCTCGGGTCTCATTCTCTGTCTGCAGCCAACTGCCAAGTGATGGTGAACCTGCAGTGCTCTGTTCTGATCCTCACAACCCACCTGAAGAGGAAGTGTCAGTGCAGGCCTGAAGGTACGAGTGCTCCTGGGCAGGGGGCTCCAAGGGACCAGCACCCACCCACAAAGAGCAGTAGAGGGTAGCAAACAGGTCACATGGGAGTCACGGACCATCCTAAAACACAGGGAAAGGGGCAGCAACTCCAGACCTTGATAGATTCTCTTCAAAGCTAAATTGCTAAGGAGAATACTCTAAACCCCACAGGCTCATGCTGGCCACACAGGGACACACTGGGCTTCCTTCACCATGTGTCTCTCCCTCCAGACTGCATTGATCTTCTGGATGAAACAGGCACCCTGATGAACCTGAGCAAAGTGGAAAACCCTGCATCCGAATACAGCAGTAAATACCTCCGGGAAAGGGAGCACTACATCCTCATCAGAGTCATCCGTAAGATCCTCGTTGGGACAGCACAGCTCTGGGTGGGGGCAGAGGGGTGGGTTTCCAGAGCGGCTCTACTCAGCAGTCACTTAGCACAGGAGCTCTGAGGAGGCAGAAGCCAGCTCAGATGAAGAGCTAGAGCTGAACCTTTGTCTGAGGTGACTACTCTTGGGGACAAGGAACCTTTCGTGGGCTGAACCACCTGCCCCAGTAACAAGCCTTCAGTTTGCAGTCAGGAGAGAGACTAATCCATTTCTCTCATTCTGCTGGCAGGAGACAAAAACTCTGAAGCCACCTCCTATGAATCCTTGCTAGAGGACCTGGAGAAACACTACCCTGACCTAACAGGTAAGAGCCAGACACCCAGAGAGGAGCCAAGGGTGCCGGCATGACTCCTCTGCCCACCTCAGCACCCATGGGACTAACCCCCACTTAAGGGCTGGTTATGGCTATGGCAGTGAGTGCACTCAGGCAGCAAGGGAAGGGACAATCAGAAACCAGAGCTAGTTTGCAGAACACTTCCTAGTTAGTGGGACAGCAGGGACCTGCTGCCCTCCCACCCCACAGCAGGCAGAAGCCTGCCCAGATTGCCCTTGGCAAAGAGGGGACATTTCCTTGGGAGAAACAGGGAGAACAGGAGAAACTGGGAAATCCAGAAGTGTCTCTCCCAGGCTGTGGTCTCACAGGGTGGCAGTGCCTTGCTCAACATGCAAGGGGCAACCCACCCAGCAGAACACACAGCTCTGGAGGGGGTTGATCACTCCACAGATCGGCTGCAGCAGCTCTCAGCAAAGACGCAGAGGAGAGACCAGTGGAGGAAGGGAACCTCGCAGAGGAAGGCTCAGCCCCACATCAGCACCCAGTTAAGGAACAAAACCACCTCAAAGAAGAAGAGGGGCTCAGAGTTCAAGACCCCTAAATGAGGAACAGACCCATTCCTGGTCACACGCACAGCACAGCCACCACCAGGACTCAGCCACCTCCCCAGCTTATTCCTAGTTCAGCAAGAGTGCCCTGCTACTGAGATCCTCTTCCTGGGGTGCCCTGCTCCTCAAAGGTTCACACTACATCCAAAGCTGCATCCTGACAAACCAGGCAAACACAGCACCACAGCCAGGCACAAGCAGCATCCAGGGGTCATTCATGTTCCCATGGCATGGCCTGCGCTCTCCAGTGACAAGAACCTGCACCTCCTTTCAACCCCCCTGCACAAGCAGCCAGAGGAACACGCACCCACATCACTGGATGGACCAGCTTTCCACAGTCACCACACTGTCAGTGCCTTCTAGAGACTCTCCACTGGGGTCACCAGGAAAGGCTGTTCCAGAGACAGCCCATTTCCCCTACAGAAGCAGCTCTTTGCCAAGATGGGCCAAAGACAGAACAGACCTGCTGCAGGTGCTCCTGCTGGTTCTCCTTAACAGCTTCTCCACCCAGACTAGCACACACCAACGTTAAATTTATTTCTGAAATGGAGTTAACTTCAGAGTGGTTCTCCCCTGCTCACACTGGGACAGTTCAGGACACAGCACTTTGGCTTTGAATCTCTGGCATCTGCTTTTGCTCTTGGCTGTTTCTCAGGAGAGCACAAGGCACCCCAATAAAGCCAGACAGAGCTCAAAACATTATCTACCAAGAATTTAGATTATGACATTTAGAAGGGGCAGGACTTTCAACACCAGCCTCCAATATCTGCTGCCAGCATTTACCATCTAGACCTGGATTTCCGCACAAATCCCAGCTGAGAACTTGTCCAGTATTCAAGTCAGAGGTCAAAAGGTTAATAGACTCATTCTGCCATGAAAATGCATCAGTTAAGCATCTGAAAGTGTCATGGTTTCACTGCTGTGCCACTAAAACTCCATCTGAAGCCTCAAAATTCTCTTTTACGCCAACGTAAAGAACAGGGTGCTCTGCCAGAGGCCAGTCTGAGGGCAGCACTCATGAGATTGTTCTGCCAAGGTGACTGTAAGAGGAAAGCAGCTCCAAACTTCACCTGTTGCCAGTGACCTTGAGAACATTGCATAATCTGCTAAAGCTTTTAAGTAAGATCAGCCAACTGTACCCAAGGTCCCACAGCCAGACAGGTCACATTGTCTTAGCTCTAAGTCAGAACAGCTCTCCAGGAGGAGGATATCTATAGAAAAATAATTTGTTACTGAAAATACTCTAGACACATCTTGGATTACCTCTCTCCAGCCTCTCCTCTGCCTGGAGGGCAGCCAGTGCAGCCTCAGCTGAGGTCTGGATCTCTTTTTGCCAAGTCATGCAGGCTCTGTCCTTGCTAGGCTGCACCTCCTATTTGCAGGGAACACACAGTAGTGCCTTGTCCTTTAAGCAGCTGATACTGTTAACATTTTGGTAGCTTAATTTTAGCTTGAGAATTAAATAAAGAACGTGCACAAGTGACAGGTCCAAATAAATTCCTTTATTTCTCTGTAATAAATATAGCACTATCTGAATTCTAAAGACCCTTGGGTCCAATTGTTCCTTTCCTTCCCTACTAGTTCAGAAGTGAATTACCACTAGAATGCTCCTGTCTGGTCAGTCTACTCCCTCCAGCTCACTCCCTGTCTGTCCTTCTGCTCCCCATGGATAGCAGGGCTCTACACCACGATCCTCTTCCCTACAAGGGGGCAGATTCTTCACAGGAGAGAAGAAACACCTACAGGGAAGAAGCATAAGTTCAGCATTAGGTACATGTTCCAGCAGCTAGAATTAAAAGCTCTCTTATCTCAGGTGACCAGATCAAGACCTAACTTCTGACAACAACTTATAATAAATGCAGCAAGAATTAGAGAATCAGCTAGGGAAAAACAGCAGGCTTCCCATGGCAGCAAAACAGGATCTGCTAAGAGGGTACCTACAGCCTCCCCACCTTCAGAAGTATGGTCAAGATCACTTCTCCCGCCCTTTCCAGTGCCCTTCTGGGAACAGAGGAGGCAGAACTGCTTCCTACAGCCCTGAAGAGCACTACAGCCTTAAAAGATCACTTCTGCAACCTTCAAACCCTCTCAGGTACTCTCCTGGCAGCAGTTCCCTTCTGCAGGGATGGGGGACACTCACCGTTGTTATACTTGCACTGCTTCAGAGCCTCGTTGAAGCCCTCGCACAAGGTCAGGTCTTGCTGGTTGGTGGCACATTCCAGGAACTGCTTCATCTCGTAGTGGCAGGGCCCGAAGGGCGACTGCGGCTGCATGGGGGGCTGCGGGCACGGGCCCGGTCAGGGGGCGGCCCGGGGACACCGACGCCTCCTCCCCGCGGCAGGAGGGCTCTGTCCCTCCTTCCCTGCCAGCCCCCAGTCCCCTCTGCCCCGGCCCGTGGCCCCACGGCCCGCCCGCGGCCCCACGGCCCGCCCGCCCAAGGGCAGCCCAAGGGCACAGCCCCGCTCGTACCTGTGCGGGCGCCGCCGCCTTGGCCGG